ATATTGGTATGTTCATGGAATACTCAAATATAAGCAAATGGTGATTCTTTGCAAAATACGATCTTGGAATACAGTATCATCTCATTTGTGTGTTTTCTATTTGTTTGCATTTCTTTGCGAGATTAGGTAGGTTGTGCTCTTCCACATTCTAAACACATCCCGATCTTCAGAGGTCCACAGTAGCGGAAAAGGACATAAAAGAGATCGCCGCAAACCTTTTAGTTTTGGTATGGTAGGTAGCCATTCAGCCCTCTTTTGTCGACAATTACAGCTTTATTGTGTTTATTTTTATTGCTGGAATGGTCCGTAGGATGAGCCTTTGAATAAATAGAAGGAGCACTTCAGTGGCGTATCTTTCTGGGTCATAGATGTCGATAAAAGTAGACTCCTCCTCTATTTTTTCGAATGACTGGTTACTGAAAACACGCCTTAAAAACATAAAATTAGTATACTAATTTGAATCCTAACACAACGTGTAATTTAAGGTAGAGGTTGGGATCACAGTATATAGAAATAGGAAGTCTGAATGGAGACAACTGTTCCTTCCATGACCCTTTTAAGACAGTTTAAACGTTCCTATATTACCTTGTATATAGGTAATTAGGAAACTGATATGAAACATATATCTTCATATTTGATTTAAACGTGGTTTCTGCATATTAGTAGTTTTCCAATATTATGTAATTTTATATAAAATGTAGACAAAACACGTCGTTTGAAATATGAGGAATACCAAACATCACTTCAAGGCTGGACGTGGTGTCCTATACATAGTTTCTGGAATATTTGACAGAAAGCTGCTAAATCCATACAGTTTATCATATTCGACAGCTGGTTATGAAAACAAGAGATACAGTTCGATTTTGTTGTCGTTAAACATGTACTGTGTTCGGCAATTTACGAAAATTGTATCTAAAACTTCACAACTACCTCTACCTGAAGTTACTGTTGTTAAATAGTTTTCGTCATGTATTTTTCAATTATAGCTTTATAACAAAACCATGATCCATAGCTCAGATTTGATGTAGCTCCACATTTCTCAATTATGACGTAACATTGGAGTTGCTCCAAGTGAAAATTATGAGGAATACAGCGAATGACCCTTAGTATGTTCACAATAAGGATATTGATCGTGACTGAAATATTCTTCTGGTTACCAACAAAGTCAGAAAAGTCGCGGTCAGGTATGAATAAAGAACGGCTTTAGCAACATCCAAATGTAGAATCTCTTCAGGTTGATAAGGAGTCATCAGGTCATGCTCAGCATAATGTACCTGCCGTCCTCAAATATGTTCGTGATTGTTTATTCACTTTGATAACTCAATGTCGACGATTAAATTAGTCTCGGTACAAGCTGCTACAAATATCTCAATACCGGCCAATCTGACAAGATTCTACACTGCCATTGATACACTGACCTAGCATGAGTCATCTTTATGAAGCAAAAGCTTTAGGAAATATTGCGAGGAACGTCACTGACTGTATTTAAAGTTGTGATTAAGGGCGGTGTTGAATCGTTCAAAGATTTTATAGTATTGTTGAGTAGTAAAATTTGGCCACTTTTATGAAAGCAATATTTAAACTGAGAGGAAAGGTAAATAAATGTGGTAGAGTACACAGAGTCAGATACAGGAATGTTTTAGAGACAGAAGGCAATATTGGATACATGTCGTATTATGGCAACAGCACAAATGGGCTAATATGAAACAATACCTAGGTTGATTACTTACAAGGCCATACCTATGGACAGTGACAAACACTTTTACTTCCCACGACTACTGGCGAGGAAGTATTGTAATCGCGAAAATTTTCGAACATCAGATATTACGTTTTTTGAATGTTATACGACATGTACATCACGAAAAACGCGTACCAGTCTTGGTGAGTGTTCTGGCCTTACTGTCTATGAACTAACTGTCTGGGCTGTTTGTCTGGCTTGATCTGTTTAGTCTACTACTTTTTTATCTATTACGCATGTTCGTAACTAGCTTTCCATAAGAAGGTCTAACTTCTGCTGAACATAGTCTCCATGATCTGATTACGGTGTTGCGTGGGAAGTGCAGTCAACCTACTTGACGCTATTTTTTGAAGAATGATTGTGATAGCTGATTGTCCAGAGCTCCTGTAAATTGAAACGGCCACCGAATTCTACGCTGATTTATTCTAACTTAAATAAGAAAACGGGGTTATTGAAAATCACTGGGTTGAAGTGAGAGGAGTGATTACGTTCAGTTCCTTCAATAACTTTTGAGTTGACCATAGAGTTACAACAAATTTTATAAGGAACCACTATGGAGTCGTACCATTTTATACAGCTAAAGAGATACATTTGCAATCTTTACCACCGGTTAGAAAGTGTCTTAGGATATATCACCACGCTTTTCCACATCTCAAAATTTCCTCCTCGTACATCAAATGAAATTACAGTTCTCAGAAGGTGAGCGGTGGCAATAATGGCACGAGTATTATGTAAAAAACCTAAAAAATGAAAGAAAAGACGACAAAATGTCATCTTGCAGACTAGGTAGTTTTTGGGGTGCAAATAGTTCATTCCACGTTTGCTCGCTATGATCACTGTGAACGTCCATCTATGGAGGAATGATTCAACGACACGCATTGTTGGTTGCAGAAAGCAAGTATCTGTTTTGTGAAGCCGAGTATTCTATAATATTTATCTCTGAAAAGATGTGAAAGAAAGAAGGTTGGTTGAGTAGCAAGATCGCATCTGGACGATTAAGTGTATTGGTCTGCATGTGTATAAAATCAGTGATATTTATATGTGTGAAAATTATTACTGAATATGCTGCCAATGAAGTATATCTATTAGCTGTGCCAGACGGGTTATTTAATATTATTGTTGTTGTTTCCGAAGACACGTTATGTTCGAAGTTATAAATTACAATTTTTCTCGTTTTTTTTTTGTGTTTTACCAAAAACTTTGTGTTGTGTGCAATGAATCCACTTCAGATAAAATTAGGAATGACGCATCACACAGCATTTTCGCAATGCCTCACGTCTAAGCGCTGATTTGTATTTTCTATTGACATCGCAAAATAAATTTCAATAAAATCTAAATGACGAAATAAAAAATAATAAGCCCTTTTCACTTTCATAAATATTCCTGTCTGTAGCATATTTCCTCACCTGTTACTTCGCCAACCAATGATTTTCTTTTCATATCTATCTCGTTTTTTAAATTCAGCAAATTTGCATATGTAATTTCCAGAATGAATAAGAAAGAGTGGGATGCGCAACTAATTTGTGGCTTTGAATCTCAAGTAAGTGTATTTCAGACAAGGAACCAATGGAATTATTATTATATATTTATTAGCACACAAATCCTCACGCACTGCCGTTTCCTTCCAGCTATAGTATATAACTTACACCTTAGACCTCCATCAATGCCATCTCTGACGCAGATGTTACATCACAGCAGAACCAATCACTGGTAACTGACATGACATTTAGGCAACACGTACAACTACAAAACAAGTTCACAACAGGTGTCCATCATCTAGTGCTGAGGCCCGTATCGTCAGTCGTTCCTACAATTTTAGGACGCCTTTATGGCCTTTATGCTGACAGTTCTGACTACAGGTTATGTTGTTATCTTCATTTCGACGTTTAAGAAATGTTAGACACATGAATCGAAGGCACAAGCATAATTTATTATTTTCTTGCAAATAATAATTCCCGACAAATTCCACAAGTTGTGCTATCTTCAAATCCCATATCTGGTATCAATGATCTGAAACTGAACACTTTGATGCAAATGTCAATGCTATTCATATTAAATATTTGTCGTATTATTTTCAGGTGTTATTCATTCAAATAGACTTTATGCGATGGTTCCTCCACGAATAAGAAACATTCTATGACCAGTGCAATTATTGTATTGTCGATGTCTGAGATGCTTTTACAAATCATTGTGGGACTGTGGATTGTGTAACGTGTCAGACTACAAGTATGTATAATGTGTGTATGTGAAGATCATAATTACTGTTATTGACCAATCACTATTTCAGGGAGCTCAAAATGCCATGGTCATATAGGATTACCAAAAATGAAGCATTACAGAGAGTAAGCAGAAAAATAGAGTTGCAGCATGAAGTAAAATCAGCAAAACTATGACATAAAATCCCATAATTAATTACAAATGGGAAAATAAAAGAAAATTGTGACTCATGAAGGTAATTACTCTCCTGTAAAACAAATTCCAAACAATTCAAACAACTAGATAAGCAGAAAAGACCCATTATTTTGAAAATGGTAGGTACCTCAAAGTCAGACTAGGTTAAGCCCTAATAAGTAGTTTTAAGATAATTGCATTGCAGTCATGATTCGCTTATCATTACAGGTAGATAGATGCTGCAAGTATCAAATTAAAATGCTCAACTTTATCTTGAACTTATGTCATATGTCATTTCCTTTTGACTTGCCTTATTGCACTGAATCCGCGTATACCTCGAGAAAACTGTTGAAATATTTTATTACTCCCTACTACAACTATTGCTGGCGTGCAGCTCCGTTAATATTCTTGGAGAATAACAGATTTTCCAGTAGCAAACATTTTTTGGCCAATACAGCGAAGAATTTTGACATCAATCATCTAGACTAGAAGAAAGTGATACGTCCATACTGGGTACTCCATGAATAAGAAAAAAAAGAAAACTGCTGAGATTGCTTCAGCTAAGTCTGAGAGTGCTAAAATGGTGGTAACCAAACCAAGTGATGCACATACGGAAACACCTAAGAGCAGTAAGTGCCTTAGAACAACAAATGAGGAGCTAAAACAGGAAATGAAAATATTATGTGAAAAAGTTAATTCATACAGTCAGTTATTAATAGAAAAAGATAGATTGATTGAGCAAGTTAGGAACGAGAACACTAGATTTCAAGATTAGTTGAATTTTTTGTCGACAAATATTACTGAAAAATAAATTGTGGTTGACGCGCTCAAGAAACTGAATACCAGAATTGACATAATTGAAAAATCAAGTATGACAAGCACTTCGTATTCGCAAATTGTAAAACAGACCTATGGTACAAAAAGCAAGGAAATCCCATTGAAAAGCATAGTGATTATACCAAGCCAGCAACAAACAAGCCTCAAGACGCGCAAAGATCTAGACAAAAACTTAAGCTTGTCTAAACTTCAAATCAAAATTGACGACGTGAAGAATTTTAGAAACGGTGGTGTGAAAATTAAGGTTCACGAAAGTAATCATGCCCATTTAAAGGAAAAAATTCAGAAAAAATGTCTGAACCGAAAATGTTTAAACCTAAATAAAATCAAAATCGTGGGCTACCATACAGATCAACGAATTACCGAAGAAGAGGTAGTGAAGTCATCACAAGACAGAACCGTTTCATAGAAAAAGAAGATATTAAGATAAATTTTATTAAGTATATTGCACAAAAAAAAATTTATATTATTTACGCAGAGATAACAGGTAATTTATTTAAACAGATTTTAAAAATGTATCTATATACAAAAATAATGAAGTGCCTCAGTGCACAAATTGTTTCCGATTTAATCATTCTGGAAAAAAATGCCAAAATCCTAGTCTGTGCTCAGTGTGGAGAAAACCATGACACCTCCCTTTGTAAGCAGGCACATTCGAAATGTTGCAACTGTTTGTATTCAAATCACCAGTATAAAATATCTTACAGTACCGATCATCTTCCGACAGACAAAAATTGCCCAGTGTATGAATTCTTTCAACAAAGACATCCCTCACGAATTTTATTTTGATCATTTTAAGAATTATTTAGAATACTCAAAATCTTTTCTAAATTATGTACGATTCAAATACCTACTCTTAATGGCTGGTAGTAAAATGCAAATCGGACACTTGAATGTACGTTCCCTCATATCTAGTTTTGATGCTATTGTAAATTCAATAGCATTAGAAAATTTTGATGTATTCGGTGTTACAGAGACGTAGCTAAATGAAAATATTACTGATGATGTGGTTAATATTAGCAACTATTGTTTCTTGCGAGCATACTAAAAAAAATACATGTGTCATGATCAACAACAAGGAGATTGATGAACTAAGCCTCAAAGAACAGTATGTTGTGTTCATCAAATGTGTTGCACCATATATTAATGTTATAGCATGAGGTATATGAAAAAAAGTGAGGAAACTTAAATACACTTTCTTTTCCAATGCGTTCGTTAATTGACTTGTAATCTTATCATGAAAGAGAAAATCTATTAAAACTGTGGCATAGGAAAGATAAACATTTTCTGTCTGAGAAAGAAATATGAAAAACGGAACAGGTTTGATATTTGAAACACTTGTATGAAAAGCAGACTTTGCTAGTTATGATAATGACAGTAAAAAAAATTAAATCTTTAGCTCTAAACTCTGCATTTATCTCTTAGTAGCTGCAATTTAGTGCGTTTTCCTAATTGAATGTCCATATCTAGGGGGATGGCTTCAGGTACATTTTAAGATGAAAACTTTATGAATATGATGGTATGTCCTAAATCTTTCATCTTTTGGAACAGGGTGATAAAAAAGTTCAAAAAAATAAATCGTTGATTATGAATATCTGTAATACCACTCAATGAAATTTGGCACCCATGTACACGCGTCAAGAGGCATTCATTTAATTTTACCATCCTATTTTGATAAACAGTGATGGTATGTCGTTTATTTCTCTCTTATTAAAATGTTCAATCACTTCTAAGCAAAAATCACTGTATATAACAATATTGTTAACATGACAAATGGAAATAATGGGTCAGACATAAAAAATTGAATTATTTAATTCTTTTAGTCTGACTCACGGTTTTCACGTGAAAAATACAATCTATTTCTCGACATAGTGACATTGTCATACTAACGATATTAGGATCATCCAAAGAAACGTTATTTTATTTTTGTAAGGGAATACCGTGCATCAGAGTGAAAAAAATTAAGCAATCAAATTTGCTTAGAAATGACGGGATTTCAATAGTAGCTTTCATTTTAAGAGAAATCAGTAGCCTACTATCATTGTCTGTCAAAATAAGCAAGTGAAATCGGTACGAACGTCGCTAGTGGAACTTAAAAGAAAATTCGTACATTAAAAATACCTCAAAAAATATTGATTTTTAAAAAGTTTACCACCCTGTTTCTCAAAAGTCAAGACGTTTAGGACATACAATTATATTTAGTTTTTTTTTCCTAAAATGGAACCAAAAGTCGCCCTCTTAAATTTTGACATTCATTTGGAAAACACCCTATATTTTATTTTTTTTTATACTCCAACTACCACGAAGGCATAAGACCTAAACGCCCATTGGGTACCGTGGGGCTATAGGGGAAAGGGGGAACGCCACACGGACTCCGGCGAGGGAACACGTGTGCATGCAATATGCACACATTCTGGCTCCGCCTACGAGATCCGCCGGGTGGTACCTCCGCGTTCGACAGTCAGCGACCGTCCACCACCTACGGACAATCACAACATTCATAGATAAGAAAAAAATTTCTCCTAGGACGGGATTCAAACCCGCACAGCGACACGACGACTGATCAGGAGACCGAAGAGTCTACTGCTGCGGCCACCGCTGCTGCCCTTATGAAAAGAAAGTCTGAAATTAGTAAAGGTTATTGTAATAGACTATTGTAGTTTTTCATTTTGGATATGTTTTTTTGCTATATATTTATTCACATTTTCTGTTATTATTTGTACCTTTTAGATATAAAGACTCAATTTGATCAAAGATACTTATGAATTTTGACCTACTATCTATGAATTCCTTGACAATCGCATGTATTATATGTTTTAGTTGGTAAGTATTTGCAGTACATAAATAAAAGAATAGTTACTTGATAAAATAAATATTTTTCATTCTCAATTGTGTACCAACAGAAATACAATAGATTCTTTCAAAAATATCTAGAAATATAGATTTTATCAAGTTTTAATGCATCTTTTCTCTAAAAACAAATCTGTTTTCTCTAGCATGATGTTAACTAGATTATATGCTATTTTCTAAATTACAAGCTAGATAAACAGGGCTAAGAGGATATCTAATCAATTACAAACAAAACTTTCTAGTTTTCTCTCTTTTTCCTCTAATAACGTTGCGTACACTGGAGTTATTCTGTCTTTGAACAGTATCTTGTACCCTGGGCCAGTCAGGATCGGATGTATCTTTAAGCAATGCAAGTAGATCTGAGAAAATAATATTATAATTAATGGTGATATCTTAAGCTTTAGTCCTAAGTACCGATATAACCATAAGTGGTGAAATATGTATTTCATATAACATTTTTGCTAGATCACTGAAATTTTATTTTTGTGATTGTCATCATTTGCCACTGTGCTGTGATGTCAAGAATTCAATATCAAACCCATGGTATCAGCCTTGTGAAACTTTGTCAAATAGAAATGTTGATTACAATATTCAAACAGGCACTTCATTGAGTTTCGTGTAACATTTTAGCTATCTCGCATGCAACATTAACCATTAGACATTCGAGAACCCCCTGCCCTAGCCTAACAAAGCTCCTCTTGAACTTGATAGCTTTTAACTTTTATGATTATACATACTTATGCCTACCTTTAATTTACAAACCGCAGTGTAACACATGTCAGTCACAAAAAACACATTGACTTTTTACTTCTGTAAGGTTGGCTCCTTCAAATATGATTTCAAGTGCCTGGATGCATGAATCCATTTTCCGGAAAATCATATTTATCCTTCTAAAATGGATAAGGAATTTTACTGAGTTTTGTATACAATATCACAATGGTTTATATCTGCAATACAGATGCATAGATACAAGAAACATTAAAAATCTTATACCTTCGTGTGGGCTACATTCTTATAAAAATATTTTTTAGAGTTATAGTCTCAAATTTTTATGTTAAGGTTCCCACTAATATAAAAAAAGATAGGGCAGTTTAAATTCAATTTCAGAGCATTTACACATTATACATACTTGTAGCCTGACACTATGCAATCCAAAGTCCAGCGATGATTGTGAACAGACATCTCCGACATCAGCAATGCAGTTGGGATACAATGCTTCTTATCCAACATCTCATAAAGTCTGTGAGAACGAACCACATCTGAAAAAAATGCGATAAGTATATAAATATGAATATGCAATGATTAATTTTGTAATTTACCTACCTTCATCAAGGAACAGCTTGGTTGTAAGCTGTTAGGCTTTTATTCATAAATACACATCCATTTGAATTGTTCATGTTAGAACACTAATATAAGATATGGGACTTGAAGATACCACAGCTTGACGAATTTGTTCAATGTAGGGAATTATTATTGACTCAAAATTTTTTGCAATAAATATTCTTCGGCATTTGATTCATCTGTCTAAAATTTCTTAAACGGCAAAAAAAGAAACATAACCTAACATCACAATTGACTTGTGATTGACAACAGACTAGAAATCTAAAGCAGTACATCCAAGTAGCTTACTGAAGATGACGTGCGATTCTGAAAATCAAGGAGACCATAAAGGCGTTCTACAATTTATTGTAGGAACGACTGATGATACGGGCCTAAATTAACATCTTGTAGAAAAACCTACGTTAACTCACAAAAAGCCTACGTTATGTCAAAAAAACTACAATATGTCACTTTTCAAGATTCGTGATACCCGTGCCGGTAATCTTAAAAGGCAGAAGTAGATAGCGGTAGTTAGGCTGGAGATTATGTCTAAGGTTATAAACAGATAACGTTCTATCAAATCTGTTACTTTTCAGACATATCGCAAGACGTCAATGTCTTTTCACAATCTACTTTTATCCGTTTGACCTCCATCAACATTAGTGTCCCCTGAGTCTTCAATGCCGTAATTATTTAGTTTTGTAGTTTGTTATGGAATTATATCAAAAGATGCAGGACATGAAATATATAAGCAACAATATGTTCGGACTTTGACATTCCTAGTCGATACGGCATAGATAGGAGATGGCTTTTGCCGCCATCTACTGCTGTGTTCCTAAATATCTATCTATACATATATATACATATTTATATATTATTATTATTATTATTATTATTATTATATATATATATTTATACATATATATATATATATATATACATATATTTATATATATATATATATATATATATATATACAATATATATAAAGTATTTTATTTGAATATTTTTCAAATTGAGAAAAAAACAGCTTTTTCTGAGATATTGTTTTTGTTAATCCTCATGCTTGTCTGGCCGGATCACAACCACTTTTTTATAATTCCTCTTTATTGAAGGACGTTACGGTCCCAACGGCTCAATCACAATTCAGTTGACACTTTTTGACAATATCAAGTGTCAATTTAACTTAAAGAATGTCACTATTGGGACCGAAACGCTGTTCAACAAAGAGAAATTTTA